GTTTTGAACGCGGGGGGGGCAGGGGGTGGCAGCTCCGCTGGGAGGGGGGATTGTGGAAAAATAGCCCTTCGGAACGGGGTATGACCTTCGAGGGGGGGGGGTACTGACGTGCTGACCGACGGAGGCACAAGATCTTGCACTGCTGTGCTGTTCAGCGAGTCGCTTGTTCACGAGGTAGGAGGACTTGTCTCTAGGATTCCACTGGGAGCACTGACTGTAGCCACACGCAGGCACGTTGCTTTGATGCAGAGCACGGCCGCCGCCGCCGCCGCCGCCGCCGCCGCGCGTCCAACATCGCCACTAATACAAAACGATTTTATCTCCAAACCTGTGAACTCCTTCAGGTTTCTGTATTGTGCCATCAATCTGCTTGCGGGAGGTCGAGGAGTGTGCTCCGAAAACGATGAGGGCGAGTTCAGCCTTAGAAAGGGAAACCTGTCGAACACCGTGGACCGTGTACGATTGCCTTGGGTGGGGAGTAGTGGGGGAGGGCATGTGTTGCTCTCCCAGAGTGTGGCTAGGTCAGAGATTACGGGACGCACACAATTTTACGGTACACCTGCCGTGGGGTTTTTGATTCCGTCGCGAGCTTTCTCCGAAACGTCATCGTTTGATAAGTGATATTTGCATCCTCTTCGTCGAGGGGGAGTAATCGAGCCATGAAACTCATTCCAACGGAGGTACGGTCCCTTCCTTACGCACACTATGCTTGCTACAACGTGCAGAAAAACACACCGATACCGCCGCCGCCAAGAAGCCACTGGAGAATTTTGTGCGTGTTCGCGCATTCGTTCATCACCACACACGCATAGCTCCGTGCTTGTTTCACAGTGCGCCCAACGGAGTCCATTAGACAGCAGCTGCGGCGGAGGCAGCGCCAGACCGGCAGTTGCGACATATAGCAGGGTTGAAATGGTCCATCCTTGGTTTTGGTTGGCTTAGAAAACTTCGGTCGGAAGGACACCCAGCGATCACACACGGTATGCATAAGAACAGTTGGGGAAGATTGTTGCGCAAGAACAATCCCTCGTTGGTGTTGCACAGAGAAGCGGTTGAAGTTCTCTACCTGGGTGTCTAGTGGCGTCTTTGCCAGCATAACATGCGTTGTACCTACGGTAACGTGTGCTTCCATCGACAACGCCATGTTAGCCGAAGAGTGATGCTGTGTGCGGCGAGAGAGCTCTGTCTGTGGTGTTGGTCGAAGGTATGTTGGCGAGGCATGAAGGAAGGCAGGCTCTGTACGATTATGAACACCGCTGAGGCACCAACACATTCAATACTACAATGCCAGTGCTCACCTTTGAGATGCTGGCCGTGCGCAAGAATGTAGAGATCCATGCCTCATCGCAGCTACCAATCGAAAGGCGGACGACATAGTACCGTGGTATCCAAGGTGACCGGACTACGCGTGCCGCTGGCACTGCCTCCCTGCTCTGCTGCTCTCCGCTGCTCCTCCGTGCGGTGTGCGCGCGGGTTCGACCGCAAATCGGTACATGGGGGCTCCGTAATGATTACGATACCCACAGCAACTTCACCGAGCGATTCGCGTTTCCCCCCGTAGGATATCATGCTCACACCTTCTGCCGCTCTGCTTGCTGCGTCTGCCCTTGCCAAGAGATCTATAGACCAGTCAAAAGTGAATGGATGTCACAGCCTCCTTCGCTAATCACTATTCGCCAGGGTGTACATGTCCTTCAGGGGAGCAGTCGATGCTTTTTGTTTGGCGAGAACGACTGAAGAGGAAGATCACGAAACCGGCTCTCCTGCAGAAAGCCGTCAGGGGCAACGAACGAGGAACGGGAGTCTTCGGCCTCCTGCGGACGGCCATGGGACAGGCGTTTCAGGATGACAGCGTTTTTTCCTGGATAGACATCGATAGGCATCCACCCCGTAAGGCAGCGGCAAGTTAGTGGAAAGCGCCACATGTCTAATTCGATTTCATCACTTTTTCCGCCGGCTGGAGCAACATGTCCAAAATACGTAGACTAGAGCGAGTCCTCTGTTTGTATTTATGTTTCCTCATGTGACACGTACTCGACACCATCTCTACCAGATTGTAGATTATGTACATCTTTTGTCTGATGAATACCTGGTTGAGAAGGCAGGGTCCCGTTGCTGCATCTCACCCTGGGCCTCGCACGGGAGATGCAGATGTTTCACGCAGCAGTCATGTGCAGCAGGGCTTCGAACGATCATTATTCTGGTACATGTACGTTGCAGCAGGCACTCTTGCGTACTTTCGATGTTGGTGCGGGCTAAACCTAACCGTGGAAGGGACAAAATCCACGAGTCGGGGCAGATCTGTTGACTGGTCGTTCCGACTGACCCGCGATCTGACCAATTTTGTTGCGGGCCACGGCCTGACCGGCCAATCAGGTTCGACCGGTGGAAAGCCATGTCAATTCCCAGAAATAGGTTCGCGATACGTGGAACGTGCGTGGCAACAGAAGATTTTCTTGGGCTAGACTACACCGCATAACAAAATGCCGCACCCGTGCCCCTCGTAACTGTTATGGAAAGTATACATACCGTAATCTCACAGAACGACTACCAGTTCAAGATCTAACCTAGTCGAAAGGTATGGGTTGAAGTCTTTTCAGTGAGTGGGTGGAAGCCGGCTGGAATCTGGGCTAATAATTTTGAGTAATTATTTTTTGCCACGTTGACGATTCCGGAAGGACTCACGCCACCAAAACACCCTGTTCCATCTTCTGCGCAATGCAAGGCGCCTGAGAGAGACAACTCTACCGCACTTATATTCCTACTGTATTCCTTGCCCTCGCTCTCGCGTAGGGTCACCGTACGCCGCGATTCGCTGCTGGGCCTCAGCAGGTTTGGTGCCCTCTCCGTGGAACTCGGCGATGACCTCTTGAGCCCCGATGGCTGCCATCGGGGCCCAGGAGGTGGCAGCGGAGTTCCAAGGAGAGGTCGTCGACTCGAGTGTGGCATCTCAGAGGGTCCTGCGACACGGGCTACTGTGCGAAAGCGAGGGTTAACAAAAGGCCTGTAGCGAGAGTTGTCTCTCAGGAGCATGCATTTTTCATACAAGCTACAGCAGTGGAACGACGTGTTTTGCCGACGCGATCACGGTGTCTGTGAGTTTCGCGATCACCCAACTACCTGTAGTCTCCTTGCCTTGTGCGTCTACACGTGTCCAAAGAACTCGCACCTATGTGGTATTTTCCAACATTGGTACATGCTACACACGTACGCCTCAGCTGGGACGTCGACAGCAAACCCCGTCCTTGCTTTGAAAAAAGTGTTCGTAGAAGAAGAGCAACGTGGCATCTTCGTTTTCACGCACTTTTACATTCAAGCCCAAGCGGGGTTGAACAAGACGGCTTCTTGCCCTTGATTTGCTTTGCTGTCTAGCACATCATACGTATGCAACAGCAGCAACCATACCTCACGTAAACACGGCGTGGGTGGATGGAATGATAGCGTGCTGTGAAATCACATCGTTTCGGGCACGCAGATGTTCGCCAGTCGTTCCTCTCTCCGTTCCCGACAACACGATCAAGTTAACACAATGCTCTCAGTCCGCTCGACAAAGTAATATCACCCATCCCATCCCATCCAACTGACTGACATAGAGACCTAGCCTACCGTTGAAAGAATGGTGCGCCGCTCACCGTGTAGAGGTACACGTTGGGTGTGCACGAGTGGTTCAGGAACCGAGCTGGGTACTCCTTTAGCAGAGCATCCAGGTACAGGGGGTCGTTTCCGACTTGTACTGTGCATCCCTGCCTCACCGTAGGAGTGCGTGGTCCAAGCCGGGGATGAACCCGTGTACTTGGACGGGATGGTGAAGGGCTATCCCTCCCGGTCCTTTGACCATTCATGCGACCAAACGTATAGCTCTACACGGTGAGAATTGTGCCATTCTTCCCCCGGGAGGCTAGATCTCTACATACAGCAGTCAGTTGGAAGGGACGGGTGACACTACTTTGTCGAGCGTACTGAGAGCATTATGCGATCGTGTTTGAGGTCTATTTTCCTAGTGCGTTTATATGTCTGTACAGGCGGGCGGTAAGCGCACCCAAGAAGGTTGGATGTGTTTTTCTTTGGTGTAGTTGCAAAGACGGGCAAAACGGTATCTTGATGTGTACCCCCCTGGAAAAATATGCGGGTTCTATTCATCGTGCGTCGAGCACCACTTGCGTCTATTATTTCTGGTTGACTTTGTTTTTTGAGTGAAACCGTTGGTCGGGTTTTCTGTCGTGTGCTCAAGAGCTGTGCTGTATATCTCCCCAACTTCGTACCGTGGAAAGCCATGTTGACCTAGGCAATGCTCTCCTTCTCCGTACGCTTGGTCTACGCCGTGATTCCACAAGGGTCAGCCCGCAAACGCGTCTTGATGCCCCCTACCAAGAAGATTATTCTAGTATGCGCAAGCGCCGATCCGTGACTTTTTTTTTTTTTTCGAAGCATCTGCCTTTCTTTGTTAATGGGCCGACCGGCGAGCGCGGAGGATGTAAGCGAAACAACACAATGACACGACCCCGTTGTCCGGGAGAGACTTAGCATTATCCTTCTTCTAACGATGACTCGATCATAGCGGTCAATTTCCGTTTTTCTTCTCATAGACAAAAGAAAAGGTACAACTTTTGTGCACACGCGCCCCTCGCTCCCCCCCTCCTTCATGTATCCTTTCCTTCACACGTGTGACCGCCGGTAAGGGGGACTCGCAAGAAAAACGAGCGAGGGTGTTCTCGATGAGGGACATCGCCGCGGGTAAGAAGTTGCTCTAGTAGTCGTACCCGTGCCGCACACGATGGGTCATATGGCCGATGTTGTCCAGCTCCGGGGTACGAGAAGCACAGCTCCTCGCTAGGTTCGATTTCTCTCATGGTAAATACCCATACTCGCTTCGTTTGCGCGGCCCGTTGCCCGCGACCACTTGTGTAAAACAAAGGGTGTGAAAGAACCCATTCGGGTAGGGTTCAACGAGGGCGGCGTGTGCACTAGTGCGCCTTGTGCATAGAAATATTATGAAATAATAAGTGAGTGTCGGTCGCTGTGAACGACTCATCAATTAAAAGAGGTGCCTCAGAGGCGAAGGGACAGACTCGCGGGGCCCGGGAGTGATACGGTCTCATGTTTGCGTGTGTACATTGGAATGACAGCGGGGTTATCCTTTTCGCCGCTGAGGCAATCGGTGAGCAGGAGATTGTCACCGAATTTCAGGGGGAGGTTATGGACTCGTTTGTGCCTCCCGGGAGTGATACCGTCTCATGTCTGCGTGTGTACATTGGAATGACAGGGGGGTTGTCCTTTTCGCCACTGAGGCAATCGGTGAGCAGGAGATTGTCACCGAATTTCAGGGGGAGGTTATGGACTCGTTTGTGCCTCCCGGGAGTGATACCGTCTCATGTCTGCGTGTGTACATTGGAATGACAGGGGGGTTGTCCTTTTCGCCACTGAGGCAATCGGTGAGCAGGAGATTGTCACCGAATTTCAGGGGGAGGTTATGGACTCATTTGTGCCTCAGGCGAGTTAATTAGAGGAAGAGCAACGTCGCGCCATCCGAATTCACACTTCAAGTCCAAGCAGGGTGGAAGTAGAAGGGCTCCTTGCCGTCGCTATACCTTGCTGCCAAACACGTACTACGTCTGCAGCAGTAGCAGCAACCATACCCAACGTAACGCGGCGGGCAAGGCTCGGGTGATGGGTATGATAGGGTCCTCTGAAATCACTTCGTTTCGGGTACGCAAGGTCATTAGTGAACAAAACACGTTTATGTAGTGCTCCCAGTGCACTCGATAACGTGTCACCCATCCAATCTTACTGACGGAAAGGTGACACTGTTGTTGGTATGGTAGGGTGCTCGCCGTGTGGAGGTACATGGTTGGTGTACTTGAGTGGTTGATGAACCTATTCGCGCACCCCTTCGGCATGCAATAAACAGAGGTCGTCCCCAACTTGAGCGATGCGCTCCTGAGGCACCGAGTAGACCCGATCGCTGCCACAGGGGTGCGTTGTCCAAGTTGGGGAGACGGCCCCTTGCATGTCAGCTGCATGGTGAAGCGATGCCCGGCGAGGCTCATGATCATGCACCCCAAACAAGCTACATACACACGATTGAGCAGCGTGCCATGGTCCCAGCAGTAGATAGACTCATGCACAACTATTAATCAGTCAATTTGCTGGAATGGGTGATACAATGTCGAGTGTACTTGAAGCATTTTGTCAACGTGTTTGAAGTCACCTTCAAGTCCAAGCAGGGTTCAAGTAGATGCTTTGCTGTCACACACATGTTACTTGTGCACGAGCAGCAACCATACCCAACGTCAACGTGGTGGACACGACGTCGGTGGATGATATGATGCAGAATGCGGTCAAACTTTTGGGGTACGCAGATTCGTCTAAACCCGTTTTACTTCCTTCTTCACTACTCTCTTGTTTCATGTGTCAAGAGGAAACAACAACAACAACAGCAGCAACACTCGAC